TGTTACGGAATATATTCAAATTATCAAATTTCAAGATAATGGTGAATGGTGATTCTTTTGTTAAGATTTGTGCAATTTGTGGACACGCTAGAGGTTTTGGAACTGGTTAATACATTAGATGATGAGATGTCCCCACTAGAAGCAGCCCAAATAATATATTCACAGGTACATATACAAATTCCAAGTCATTGAATATTTCATTTCATTTGTTGCTTTTTCGTTGATTTCACGTTAACATATTTAGTTCCGCAAAACTCTTATAAATGAAAACACTGATTGCTTACTAGTTACTACGATTTAGGGGCCCAAAATTTGAAGTTCGCCTCAGGCCTTGCAGTACACAGGTACGGCACTGAATATAAATATATATGGATTTATCTTTTATTAAAAAAAAAAAGTTAAGAATACAATAGACATTTTCAAGGGTGGACACGGGCAGTAGCACGGTGAAGCCTGTCTGTGATCCGCCCTTGTGACCAGAAGTTGTGTGGCATAAATTTTCTGCAATTCAAATCGGTCGACATGCGTGCATCTGTAACACTATTTGTACAGCCTAGTAGGTCACACACTTTGATATGAGGTGCATTTAAGTCATTCACCTTGAATTTGATTCAATCAGATCATTCAACTTTGATTTGCTTACCGATTTAGCGACTCATCTTCAACATTTGGCAACTCACTCACTCAACATCTACTTGCTTGTAGATTTAGTCATTTTGTCCACCATTTCAGTTTAACTAACGGAATATACGGAACTCAGCATTAAAAATAATGAACGTCTCATATGTAAATTGTTCTTTTATCTTATATGATTTTTGTTCTAAGGGAAATAATTGAAGATGTGCTATGTGCATTAATGTTGTATGACCTGAAATTCTAAGGGAAATAATTGAAGATGTGCTATGTGCATTAATGTTGTATGACCTGAACATATGTATTAGTGTCATGTAATATTAGTTAAAATGATGAGTGATTCACAGATCAGATTTGCAAGCAAATTGAAGTTTGGTGCTGTGTTTCCACCAAATTAAAAAATGAATGAGCATCGACAACAAATGCAATTACCCTTTGACAATAGATGTAAGAACATAAGATTGTAACACCTAACTCCTCCTTGGTTTCAAACAAAACGAGATTTCTAAGTGGAGTTTATATGTTCCATGATATTCTGGGTTGATAATTACATTTGATGCAAATCACTGTGACCCCGTTTGATGGTGATTAGAATATGATTTTTAGTAAATTCTGATAAAAGTTGATGAAATGTATGGCTGAAAAATTGAAAGTCCAATGAAATATGTGGTTAAAATTAATTGTTGATTTCGATTTAAGTTAAAATTTAGATTTTAATCCCTACCAAATAGGGAATCAACAAAGGGAAACTAGTAAATGCCGAACTAGTTTACTATCAGCCTGTTCGATAGTATTTTTACGCCATCTTTTAAAGTTCATAATGAGGAGGTTCAATAGAAAAACAATCATTCTAGTGTGTGAGAAATTTTTTGACACCCTAGTTGACATATTGTCACAATAGAGGTGGGTGTGAGGCTTTTTTTGCATTTTTTATTCACACGTGTCCCACACATATATGAGAATAGTTCATTCAAGGTGTTAAAATTTTTCTGACAATTGACTTAATTCATAGAAAAAATCCGTGACCTAACCATCAATTCAGTTCAAGTATCTTTATTAGATTAGCCTACGATCAATTCGGGAAAAATCTATTGGATTTTCTTAAAAAAATAAAAAAAATAAAAAAAAATACCGTAGACCTAACTCATTAACTCGGCAAGTCATCTCTAATTTAAAATTTTCAAATTTAATTTAAGATTTTAATAATCTTATACCAAGTTAGGCTTTAGTTTTTACATTTTTGATTTGCTAATTGATTTTTTAACGAGGTTTTTTATTTTTTATTTTTAACTCTTATGTTGAAAATCTCTCGCGTCCTTGAGTTTTGGAGTAAAGATACGAAAAATGAAAATAAAAATAAAAATGTTTGATTAATTTAGTGTAAGACAAATACCATTGCCTATGTTTGGATTTCATGAGAAATTACTTAAAATCTCCTTAAAGTGTAAAAGGTGGCGAGTTTCCTGAAATGGGTTGATAATGACTAATGAGCGTGTAATAGTTGTGACTATGTGATTAAAATTAAAGTTTAAAATATATCTTTTAAAAAAGCCCAGACATAAATATTATACAATAAAAAATATTTTTTATTACATTTGATAAGAGTTGATCTACCAATTCAATCACGAGACAGTTAAATCATTGGCCTAATGACAACTCTTCATCTGAGTCAGTGCTCTAGTCGATGATATTACATATATTAGTACTAAGTACAAGTGTATGTGACAGTAGGATGAGTACTATATTATTCAAAAATAATTCTATTGATACACTCAAAGGTGTATCGAATTGTTTACCCCCTCTCACATGCACGTGGGACGGGAGTGAATAAAAAAAAAATCCCAAAATGTGATTCTCACTCCTCTATTGTGAGTAGTCATAAGGGATTAGGTAAAAAAAAAAAAATTCGATACATGTAACATGGTTCATTATTCAATACATAAAAATGTATTAAAACTTTATTGATACTATGACGGTAACTTTACTACCACATATATTTTGTCAAGTACAAACTGGGTTGAATAACATTATTCGATTTGGCTTGTGGAGGACATTATAGTTATTGGCCAGACAATCATGCACACAATCGCATTTTGTCGATCAAAGAACTTTTTTGGATCTTGTTTCTATGTTATTATCACATATATCTTTGTGTCAACAAGTCGATCTATCTATATTGTTCTTCCTTCAAAAAAATTCATGAATAGAACACAATTTTAATAATAAAAAACACGAAACACAAATTTTATCTCGTTATTTATGAGGGATATTTAGATGCATTGATTAGAAAAACTCCACAACTTGTATATATCTATAATATATTAAAATATCATATCAAGCGAGAATAATTTTTTAGACGATTTTAACCCCTTCAATTCAATTATTTCAATATACCTTACTTTTCGTTTTTTGATATGTAATAAATACAATATAATTATTGTCATTTATGAAATTTGTGTTTTTAATTCTCAATTAATTAACATTCACATTAACCTAGATTTAATGAATTTTCACTTGATAAAATATTGAATTATATGAATCTAGAGTTATTATAGATGAATTTATTCATATTCGTGTATATAGAAATTTTAATGGGTGTTTAAATTTATGTATTCTTTTAATTCGTCCTAAACTTATCAAATCCTCCAATAAATTGGTACCAAATATTACTTATAAAGTATTCTAGAATAACGTGCAATGCACGTTCAACTTTGCCTATTTTTAATAATAATAAAAAACCAAATAATAATATACCCTACCCTAACTTTTAAAGTAATACAAAAACCCTAATTTAGCGACAAACATTACCTCGTTAACCAAAAAAAAAAAAATCTCATACCGACATAGAAGTCCTAATAAATAAACAAATAATTACTTCCACCAGAATAAATAAAAAGGAGACCGTTTTGATAGCCTCAACAATAATTTTTGGCCTAAAAACGTCCCACTGAAATTTGGGCTCAAAGTTGACCCATTAAACCATTTTTTCCAACAATAACGTTTCTCTCAGCTCTCAGCTTAGTTTGTTGTTGTTGTTGTTGGGACAAAATTAACACATGAGTGTTGTTCAAAGGCTCGTTTCTCGTGAAATTTTGCTTTTTTTAATTCAATTTCGACGTAGTTAACTAGATCAAAGTATCCGATTGCATCACTTTGTTAATTATTGAGCAACTTTGCACCTTCTTTGTAGATATAGAGATTTCAAAAGCTAGTGAATAGGGAGCGAATGAGATCGCTTTGGCTTCTTGTTATCATGACTATCTAGAGTGAGATCGTTTTGGTTGCTGTGTTGGTATATGTTGTCTTTTCACAAGGTAGGTACGTTGCTTATATATTATTCTCCAACTCATGAATGAGGTGACAAGACATAGTAGTAACAAAAAAGACGTATATATCACTTCCATTCATGAATTGAAATTGCTCAATCAAGGTAACATTGGAAAAAACGACGTTCTTGTTCGACCTCAACAATATGTTGGGTCACTTGTCACAATGAAATGTGACTAGTTTATGACTCCAAATCACAAGTTCATTACAAGAGTTTGATCAACTTTTGTTCTTTCTCAATCATTTCTTCTGTACCATTCTTCCATTTGGTAAAAGACAGATTCTAAGTTTCTTTTCACTTGGCATACATCTATTTCAAGTTAATGTAGAGTTGTAACATCGAAAAGTGTATCCGTGACGGTTCAATTCGATTCCAATTCAACTTGCACAAAATCAAGGATTTATAAGGGTCTTGGTTTCAATTAGAATATGACATTGTTTGTGTTTCAATTCTTATTAGTTTGGTTTAAATTAAGGTGGGTCATGATGCAGCGCAAGTGTCACGAATTCAATAATGTCTTAACCTAAATCTGTTGAGTTCGACGAATATTATTTAAAAAAAAAAAACTGTTACTTTATACGGAGTTCTATAATTTGCTTAATCACCACACTCTCATACTCATTGTTGCACGACGAACCAGCTTTTATTTTGTTTACTTCCATTTTGTTTCGACTTAAAAGATTTGAAACCCCAATCAACATAAGTCAATGCCTATATAATGGCTAGTGAAGGGGAGAGAGCAGAGAAGAGATGGGACGATGATTGTAGTCAATCGAGTGATGGCACAAAATGAGTGTTTTTTAAGCATAATCAGCAAGTTACTTGTTTGATCTAGGACAATAGATATTATAAGCTGCATAACTATCGGAGGTTCCATTTTCATATGGTTAACAAGTTCATCGATGAAATGTCAATAGACGATAACTAGCTAATGCTATTTTCATTAGTCATAATGCATCTGATTGAGTTTTCTCTGTTCTAATTTATTTCTGCTCTTATGCAGCAGTATGGTCTTGATACATCGGAATTCACATACAATCCATCTGCGTCTAATAGGCACCTGCAAGATGCTACACAATCTTCTGAGGAAAAGAGCCGTTGCATCATAATCCCCGTTTTGGAAAGTATCCGATTGCATCACTTTGTTAATTATTGAGCAACTTTGCACCTTCTTTGTAGATATAGAGATTTCAAAAGCTAGTGAATAGGGAGCGAATGAGATCGCTTTGGCTTCTTGTTATCATGACTATCTAGAGTGAGATCGTTTTGGTTGCTGTGTTGGTATATGTTGTCTTTTCACAAGGTAGGTACGTTGCTTATATATTATTCTCCAACTCATGAATGAGGTGACAAGACATAGTAGTAACAAAAAAGACGTATATATCACTTCCATTCATGAATTGAAATTGCTCAATCAAGGTAACATTGGAAAAAACGACGTTCTTGTTCGACCTCAACAATATGTTGGGTCACTTGTCACAATGAAATGTGACTAGTTTATGACTCCAAATCACAAGTTCATTACAAGAGTTTGATCAACTTTTGTTCTTTCTCAATCATTTCTTCTGTACCATTCTTCCATTTGGTAAAAGACAGATTCTAAGTTTCTTTTCACTTGGCATACATCTATTTCAAGTTAATGTAGAGTTGTAACATCGAAAAGTGTATCCGTGACGGTTCAATTCGATTCCAATTCAACTTGCACAAAATCAAGGATTTATAAGGGTCTTGGTTTCAATTAGAATATGACATTGTTTGTGTTTCAATTCTTATTAGTTTGGTTTAAATTAAGGTGGGTCATGATGCAGCGCAAGTGTCACGAATTCAATAATGTCTTAACCTAAATCTGTTGAGTTCGACGAATATTATTTAAAAAAAAAAAACTGTTACTTTATACGGAGTTCTATAATTTGCTTAATCACCACACTCTCATACTCATTGTTGCACGACGAACCAGCTTTTATTTTGTTTACTTCCATTTTGTTTCGACTTAAAAGATTTGAAACCCCAATCAACATAAGTCAATGCCTATATAATGGCTAGTGAAGGGGAGAGAGCAGAGAAGAGATGGGACGATGATTGTAGTCAATCGAGTGATGGCACAAAATGAGTGTTTTTTAAGCATAATCAGCAAGTTACTTGTTTGATCTAGGACAATAGATATTATAAGCTGCATAACTATCGGAGGTTCCATTTTCATATGGTTAACAAGTTCATCGATGAAATGTCAATAGACGATAACTAGCTAATGCTATTTTCATTAGTCATAATGCATCTGATTGAGTTTTCTCTGTTCTAATTTATTTCTGCTCTTATGCAGCAGTATGGTCTTGATACATCGGAATTCACATACAATCCATCTGCGTCTAATAGGCACCTGCAAGATGCTACACAATCTTCTGAGGAAAAGAGCCGTTGCATCATAATCCCCGTTTTGGTTCTGCACAAATTCTGATGGCTTGTTTATAGATCAATACTGATATTAGTTCACTAGTGTGAAGATTTCAGTAACGTTAGAGACTTTATTCCAGTGAGTTTGTGTACAAAAGAAGAATGTCTCAGGAGCTTATTACTTTCTTTTCTATAGAGTGAAAATGAGCAGCGCGGGAAAGCCAAATCAGACAGAGAGGAAAAAGAATAAAATCAAAACACAGATCTGACCTTTCCTCCATGCACAGGGCCGGACCTGATGGGAGGCCCAAGTGGCCTGCGCCTCAGGCCCAGATTTTTAAGGGGCCCAATTTTTATTTTTATTTTTTTCCCCTCTCTCAGGAAATAAGAACTTCCAGCCAGTCCGAGAAATCAAAATCTAGGGTGCGAACCCAACTCTAGACATCTCTCGACTCTCATTCTCACAATCTCACTCTCTCTTCAATGCAGAAGCCAATAAATTTCAGCCCCTTTCTGCAGCTTCTTCCATGTCGCAGTCGCAGTTGCTAGTCGGAATCGTATAGACACCTAAGGTCACTATTGTTTTATTTTTGAAATATAAAATTTAAACTAATGTTTAGTGGCAATTATTGAGATTAACTCCTCGACTCCATTCTGTAACTTTCTTGATTTGCCATGAATAATGTTAAGAAGAAAGTTAACCTTGTACAAACACTGACACTGCGGTGTCTAAAACCCTCATACTATTAGCTAGAGAATAAGGGATTGAAATGTGTGTATGGTCTGAACTTGAATCCGATGATTGGGCTGGGTTTTGAAGATATTGCACTGATATTGCCAAGGTCAATTTATTGGCTATCATCTCAAGTTTTGTCATAAATTACTGAATTTTGATTTTGCTGTTTCTGTAGTTTTGTTTATTGTTAAAATACACATTCACATTATTTGGGGTTGAGCTTATATTGGGGGTGTCATTTGAAGTTATGTTTTTAAACCAGATCTGAAATAATTTCGATTTTATGTTAATTTGGATTAATTTGCTCTATTGTTATAGTTCCATTTGAGGTACATCGCTGAATTGAGATTTTATTCAACAGAAATTTACTTTACACGTATACTTTTGGAATTTTTTACTGGTTTTTAGTAAGTTATTTTGGTTGATAACTTGAAACCAAATTCATCGGCGTAATGTAGGNTACCAGAAATTTTTTGACACCCTAATTGACACACACACAATAGGGGTGCATGAAGGGCATTTTTTTGCATTTTTTATTCACATGGGTTCCACGCACATGTGAGAATAGGTCATCCAATGTGTCAAAATTTTTCTGGCAACTTGACTTAATTCATAGAAAAAACCCGTGACCTAACCATCAATTCAATTCAAGTATCTTTATTAAATTAGACTGTGATCAATTGGGTAAAAAAATCGAAAAATCTATTGGATTTTCATTCAAAAAATTAAAATACCGTCGACCTATCTCATTAACTCGGCAACTCATCTCTAATTTAAAATTTTCAAATTTTATTTAAGATTTTAATAATCTTAAACCAAGTTAGGCTTTAGTTTTTACATTTTTGATTTGCTAATTGATATCTTAACGTGGTTTTTTGGAGATTTTTTTTTTTAATACTTATCTTGAAAATCTCTCGTGTCCTTGAGTTTTGGAGTAAAGATAGGAAAAATAAATATAAAAATAAAAATGTATGATTAATTTAGTGTAAGACAAATTTGGATTTCATGAGAAAATACTTAAAATCTCCTTAAAAGTGTAAAAGGTAGTGTTTCATGAAATGGGTTAATAATGAGCGTGTAATAGTTGTGACTATGTTATTAAAATTAAGGATTAAAATATATCTTTTAATAAAGCCCAAACATAGATATTATACAATAAAAAATATTTTTTATTACATTTGATAAGAGCTGATCTACCATTCAATCACCAGACTTGCAGTTAAATCATTGGCCTACTGACACCTCTTCATCAGAGTCAGTGCTCTAGTCGATGATTTTCCATATATTAGTACAAAGCAATAGTACAAAAAAAAAAACAAAAAAAAAGAAAGAAAGAAAGTTGAACCCCAATCTTAAATGTCTCTCATCGCTCAGCCCATGAAGTATCGTGAGAGAGGTTAATCGCGAGATGTGCCACAGCAGGCCAAAGAACAAGAGCTGCTTGTACATTGGTGCCCACAAATAGTTTCAATCCATATTTTAGGAATCGAACCCTCATACTGTGGCTGTTAGCAAAGTTGAGTATATCTCACCCTTATTCTTTGCACTACTGAAATATGCCCTGAGGGGTTGTACTAAGCAATAGTATATGTGACGGTAGGATGAGTACTATATTATTCAATAATAATTCTATTGGTACACTCAAAGGTGTACCGAATTGTTTACCCCCTCTCACATGTACGTGGGATCGGAGTGAATAAAAAAAAATCCCAAAATGTGGTTCTCACCCCCCTATTGTGAATAGTCGGTAAGGGATTAAGTAAAAAAATTCGATACATGTAACATGGTTCATTATTCTTAATACATAAAAATACATTAAAACTTTATTGATACTGTGACAATAACTTCACTGCCACATATATTGCGTCAAGTACAAATGGGGTTGAATAACATTATTCGATTTGGCTTGTGGAGGACACTATAGTTATTGGCCGGACAATCATGCGCACAATCGCATTTTGTTGATCAAAGAATTTTTTTGGGTCATGTTTCTATGTTATTATCACATTTTGTAAAAATGAAAATGGGTGGAATAGTGTTTTTGAAAAATGAATGGTTAAAAAAGAAGGAAAAGATTTCGATTTACGTGTAATATTATTTTATGAAAGATTGTGTGATTGCAAATATGAGAGAGAAAAATGAAATGTAATAAAATGGAAATTAATAGAGGTCAAACGGGGGCTTAGATGCATTGATTAGAAAAACTCCACAACTTTTATATATTTTAATAAAAAACAACCAAATAATAATATACCCTATCCTAACGTTTAAAGTAATACAAAAACCCTAATTTAGCGACAAACATTACCTTGTATCAAATAAAACACATGCCGACACAAAAGTCCTAATAAATAAACAAATAATTAATTCGACCAGAATAAATAAAAAGGAGACCGTTTTGATAGCCTCAACAATAATATTTGGCCTAAAAACTAGTGGGTTCAAGGGCTAAGCCATCGGTTATCTCATTGGGTCATTTTACTTGAATCCCAACATTTCTCTCAGTTCTCTGCACAGTTTGTTGTTGGGATTGAGTTAGCACATGAGTGATGTCCAAAGGCTCGTTTATCATGAAATTGTGATTCTTTTAAAAATTCAATTTCAACATTGTTAACTGGATTAAAGTATCCTATTGCATCACTTACTAGCATTTCTCTCAGCTCTTAGCTAAGTTTGTTGTTATTGTTGTTGTTGGGACAGAATTAGCACGAGTATTGTTCAAAGGCTCATTTCTCGTGAAATTTTGATTCTTTAATTCAATTGCGACAGGTTAACTAGATCAAAATATCCGATTGCATCACTTCGTTAATTATTGACTGAATTTGCCCCTTCTTTGTAGATATAGAGATTTCAAAAGCTAGTGAGTAGGGAGTGAATGAGATCGCTTTGGCTTCTTGTTATTATGACTATCTAGAGTGAGATCGTTTTGATTGCTTCGTTGGTATATGTTGTCATTTCACAAGGTAGGTACGTTGCTTATATATTATTATCTAACTCATGAATGAGGTGACGAGACATAGTAGTAACAAAAAAGACGTATATATCACTTCCATTCATGAACTGAAATTGCTCAATCAAGGTAACATTGGAAAAAAATGACATTCTTGTTCGACCCCAACAATATGTTGGGTCACTTGTCACAATGAAATGTGACTATTTGATGACTCCAAATCACACGTTCATTATAAGAGTTTGATCAACTTTTGTTCTTTCTCAATCATTTCTTCTGTACCACTCTTCCATTTGGTAAACGACAGATTCTAAGTTTCTTTCCACTTGGCATACATCTATTTCTAGTGAATGTAGAGTTGTAACATCGAAAAGTGTATCTATGACGGTTCAATTCGAATCGCACAAAATCAAGGATATATAAGGGTCTTGGTTTCAATTAGAATATGACGTTTGTGTTTCAATTCTTATTAGTTTGGTTAAAATTAAGGTGGGTCATGATGCAGCGCAAGTGTCAAGAATTCAATAATGTCTTAACCTAAATTTGTCGAGTTCGACGAATATCGAATATTATAAAAAAAATTAAAGGAAAATAACAAATCTTTATTGACTCTACTAAAAAAATTTAGAAAAATAAATGTTAATAAAATTCTCTTGCTAATCTTAAATGGAAGACTAAGAAAAGTTCCCATTGATGGCGTAAATGAAAATTTGGCCTAAATAACAGTAGGTCCAAGGGCTTCAGGCCATGCTCAAAGGCTTATTTCAGCATGAAAATGTGAAATTATTAGTTCAATTTTCAACACGATTATTCTGTAAAGCTATTGGCCAATTGCATTAGATCATTTCTAATTGAATACTTTCTAATAAGTGATTTAATATTTGTCTTCTTAGTGAACCATGCAGTTTTATATAAAAATTGCGAGATTTTCGATTTTGAGGTTCCTTCCACATACTTATGTCCTGGTTTGATATCAATGAAAATTAGATTTTTGATTAAATATATGGTTAAAAAATGTATAAAAACTGTGAGTTTAATAAAATATATAAATGAAAGTGAATTTAAAAAAAAAATAAAATTGAATTCTAGAAAATGGAGGCAAGAAAGAGACTACCCTCGATGTAACTCACACGTCTTTGTTGCTATTGTATAATTAGTTGCAGTTGCAAAATCATAATTCTATTCTTAGATAAATAGCTTTTTTAAGTCAACTCTAGAACCGTCCTTAATCATGAAACTTTACAGATTATAATTACAATAAAGCTGAGTGTACATGCTTCATTTTACAGATATCTTACGGGCCCACTCACATGAGGTAGGCCTCACCTCATTAAAAAAATAGCCCCAAATATAATTTCTAGAAACAATATTTATTTAA